AATCTCTGTGGCCAAGCTGTTATTTTTGATTGACGTAACGTTTCTTACTTGCTAAAATAGCTTTAAATAAGAATGGCTTCTGGGTTAGCACGCTAAGATGGGCAAACTAGCCTAAAGACGTCTAACGTTGCCTTCATTTGTGCTGAATGTTGCTGAAACATGCCAAATGAAACTTTTTATTTTCTTTTTGTTGCTCTAGATCTTAATAAGTCAGTCACACTCGACTCCATTAGGAAACGTGTTGCTGCAAATGTTATGTTTTATTGCTTTTGCTTTAAACCCAGTCGGTCCAAGCAGATGGCCGCTTGTCCTGAGCCTGGTTCTGCTGGAGGTTTCTTCCTGTTAAAGGGAGTTTTTCCTTTCCACTGTTGCCACTGTGCTTGCTCAGGATGGGAGACTGCAACGAAGTGAAGATTCAACAAGTCTGCTGCTTCCTTAGATAGAGAACATTACTAATTGGCTTTTATAGAAAAGTGTATATGTATAAAGTATGTGAATGTTTTTGTTCAGTACCCTGAGACAACTTTGTAGTGATTTGGCGCTATGTAAATAAACCAAATTCAATTGCTAATGAAGGTCAAGGTTTCTTTATTGTCATTCTCATGTCATGTGGTACATGTGGTGGAATGAAATTATGTACACAGGGTCCCAGTTACATCCAACAAAAGTATAAATTGTAAAGAAGAACAGTAATAAGATCTAAGATATGAACTAAGAAATACTACTTAGCCTGGTTACTGAACTTAACTAGTGAGCTATGTTCTATTTACCTCCTCAACTTTAATCCAGCAATCATATAAAGTCTGACTTAACCATAGAGTTATGACTCTAAAACCCTTTTTCTTCTTTTGGCTGCTCCCTTCTTCAGGGGTCTCCAAAGCAAAGTAAGTCGCATGAAGACTGGGCGATGTCCTTCCTGACACAACCACAGACCACCGAGCTACCACAGCCCTCTGTGTGGAGCAGAGCTAGGGTTTGAGTGCCTTGCTCAAGGGCCCAGAGTTGGGCAAATGAGGGTATTTCACCTTTCTCATCCACATTTGGATGTTGTTGGTAGGGGGAGTTGAACCGGAAACCTTCCGATTGCAGGCCCACCTTCTCTAACCTCTGGGCCACCTCTCCCCCGTGACTCTACGAGACACAAGTTTTGATCAATGTGTTGCTAATCTGTTGAACTTTATGACCGTTAATGTTCCTCAGTGGAACATCAGTGAGGAACATCTGTGAAGTCCCACCGATCCTCCAGAGAGCTGAAGCCTTGTATTTGTGTCTCTGGGTGGTCAGACATGGAAAGTTTTAACTAATCATTTTCCATTTTTTATAATTATTATTTTCTTTTCACCCTCCCTGTGCTAGAACAGCTAAATTTTTAATTATATTTTTCTTTTACTGACCCCAGTGACCCAGATATATGAGTGTCCGCCGTAAAACGTCTGATGCCTCAGCTTGCATGCATGTAAAGCAGCTTTTTCAGACTAAATGTTTACTTGTGCACATTAGAAGTAGGGCTTTAACAGACTATTCGAGTAATCGACACATCAATTCCTAGGACATCTATTGAGTTTTTAAATTTCACGTCGAGTATTCGTAGTGGCGTCATTACATCGCCGTTACGTCATTGCGTCACATGTCACGTAATCCGCAACGGATGCAGGCTACAAAATGGATTCCTCCAAGTAGATGGATGGAGCAGAGCAGGCCCAGTCTTGGCAAACGGGTAGAAATGCATCAGTAGTATGGAAATATTTCACTAAAGATGAATCTTCTGATTCATCTACTATAAGGAAACAGAAAATGAATCAACTTCTTGACTGTTTGGAGCACGTTGTGAACCGGTGTTATACTATATTCTGTGACCACCGTATATTGTGACCGTAGGGGGCGGTGTTGCACTGTTGCAGGTAACAGAGTATGGTGTAACACCAGGTCCAATGACCGAACCAGAACCAGCTTCTCTGACCTTGTTTCACAAACAAAAAGCAAAAAATATTAATCTCTAAACCTATAAACAAACCTATAAACATATTAGTCTGTAAAACTAAACCTATTGTGCAACACTGCAGGCGGTGTTGCGGGGTGGTTGTCCGCCCCACTGTTTTTAGTTTTGTTTTTTTATGTGACGCACGTTTCTTTCACTTTTGCAGCTTAATAATAATAATAACTAATACTTTTGGTTTTCCTGTGACTTATGTGCAGTATGATAAATGGTAGGAGCATAATATACTCTCCCAATGTTTTGTTGGTCTTTTTTGTATATAATAAATTACTTTTTTTGCAGTTTTATTTATTTATTTATTTTTGCATGTTGAGATCCTATGACGTCATGAACTACTCGAGTTTTATTATGTCAATGTCGAGTTTAAAAATTATGTAATCGTTCAACCCCTAATTAGAAGTGAGGTTTTGCTCTTTACATCAAAACAAACTGTTTTGTCTGATGAGATGAGAAGCAGGACTCTGCAGCAACATCTGGCCTGTAGAAGGTTCTGCTTCTTGTGTGAGCTGAACTCTGTCTCTGTAGATTTTTACAAAGGCTTCAACAGCAAACAGCAGAGCACCACCTAGAGCTAATGCAAAAATCAGAAGTATAGCAAAAGAGGTTAAAAAATAACTGAGAGGAATGCATTGTTTTATGAGCTGATAAAAATTGGATTAAAAGTTGTATTTATTGTATTTTAATGTGCATGATCAGGAACACGAGTGCAGTAAAGTTACTGTGAAGTTATGAGAGCAGTGGAACAAACTGACAAGTTTTATAAAGTAGAATGATTTTTAGGCTTTATCAGAAACAAAAGTGTTTATTGTCTGCACCAAAATAAATAAATAAATAAAAGCACGGACAATATAAATGTGTGGCTGATTTTTCCTCATAAGATCTTTGAAGGTTCTTGGTGTTATAGGTTGAGACTGCTCTGTGTTCTCCACAGGACCCCATCAAAAGATCAGAATGTTCCCTTGACTTACTGCCTGTGTGTGTGTGTGTGTGTGTGTGTGGGGGGGTGCGGAGGGGGGAGGGGGGCACACAAACTTTGGCATTACCTGTTGAAAACCCTGTTTGTCTGTTAACAAAATATTTCATGAACTGATTAAACTCAGAGCAATCAGTCATCACTTGTTCACCACAGACTAGTCTGCACAAAAGTAGGTGCAACTTCACTGACACTGAGCTGAGGTTTGGTGTGGTAGTAGCTGAGACTCATCCTCAAATCATCCTCCAAGCACCAACAAGTCACATGAAGTTATTTTAGAGGTTAGACCAGAACAGCTCAGCCTCACACATTCAGTATTCAACCCCCTCAGCGACGGGGAACATCGGCGTTTATGAAGAACTAAAAAGAATCACAGCTCATATCGTGGTTTGTTTCACTAAAAGTAACCAGCAGTCTTTATAAGAGCAGGGACTTTTGATTATTACAACAAATGATTGAAAAAGCAAAAAACATAAACTAGAAAGTTCCTGCAGAAACTTTGATGGGGACTGCCACATTGCAGCCATTTTTTTTATATTTTTTTTTTATTTGACAGTACTGTGTGTTGGAGTTCACTCCACCATACCAAATTTCAGCTCAACATGGCAAAAAAAAATTTTTTAAATCAATGAGTTAAAGACATTTTTTATTTTAAGCTATGGTGGCCATTTTGGATTTTAGATTTTAATTCAGAATGAGTTGAGCAGCACTGTCAGGTACCACCACACCAAATTTCAGCTCAATATCTTTTAAAATAGCTGAGTTATCATATTTTTTCCATTTTAGCTAAGGCGGCCATCTTGGATACTTGATTTGCATCAGGAATGTTTTACAACTCACTCTCGGCTACGACCATACTAAATTTCAGCTCAGTATCTCAAAGAATGACGGAGTTATAGTCAATTGTGAGTTTTCTCAGGTAGTCATGGCAGCCATCTTGAACCAAAATGGCTCCAAAAGTTAATCAGTGATTAGTTCAGAGTCCCCTCCACTCTAGGTCATGTGACCTCACTGTGGCAGTTAGAAGTTGTTAAAAGTTCTGTTAGTGTTTACCAATGAGAAAAAATACATCTTTGTTAGCAAATTACATACGTCGCCATGGTAACTGGAAACATCAATTAAAGTAATAATAAGAGGTGGCTCACCAGGTCAAAGGTCACCGACTCCTTGTTGAGCGTGTCCACGTCAGGGAGCCGAGCCTTCACCTGCGTCTTGATGTAACACTTCTCTCCACCTGAAAACCGGATCCCTGTGATCCCCTGAAGCAAAACACAGAGAAGTCAGAAAGGAGGGGCGACGCCTCTAAACGAGTCTCTGCCACAAACATTTAATATCTGTTTGATATGAACCAGTCTGTGGAGTTTGTGCACGTGTGCACGCGCTGAAACTAAAAGATGAGCAGGCAAAGGGACAAACGATTAAAGGTCAACATTCTGGTGGTGGATGGGTTAAATGCAGAGACTAATTTCGCCATTGTATGGAAACATACAGTGCTGACATTGTGATGACATTATTATTATTATTATTATTTAAATACTCAGAGGCTTTAAAGCTCCTCTGGTTGGGGCACTTTAATGAAAGGTCAGACAGCACCAGTCTGAAGGCGATGGGCGCCACCGTGACGCTGATTGTTCCTGTGGGGTGCGTTGCTTTTTGGTCATAATTTCTCCAGTGGGGTAATGAGCCTGTCTCCCCCCTTGAAGGCCTTCATCCCAACCTGATCGACTCTGACTTCTGCCAGAGTCTTAACTGGAGTTAGTAGGAGAGATCATATCTCTCCAGTTTTAGTTTCTCTCCATTGGCTCCCTGTCAAGTCCAGAATATAATTAAAAATCTTACTTCTATCCTACAAAGCTCTCAACAACCTAGCTCCATCTTATATTACAGATCTTATTGTTCCATATTTTACTAACAAAGCACTTTGCTCTCAGACTCCAGGTTTACTCATGGTTCCTAGAGTTTCAAAACTAGAATGGGAGGAAGATCCTTCAGTTATCAGGCTCCTCTCTTGTGGAACCAACTTCCAGTTTCTGTCCGTGAGGCTGACACATGATCCAGTTTTAAGACTTTCCTTTTTGATAAATCCTAGTTTTGTATGCTGCTTTAAGCTTAGACTACTGGAGGACACATTGACGTCATTTCCTTAAATGAATTGTTAAAATTTAACCATTTTCATTTGATGCTATTTCTTTCTTAACATGTGATTCTTGACGTGCCATTGTGTATCTGTTCCTACCAAACCCATCCAGTTGAAGCAGATGGCCGTTGAAACTTGTCCTGAGTCTGGTTCTGCTAAAAGTTTCTTCTTCATGAGAGAGTTTTTTCTTTCCACTGTCGCCTTCATGCTTGCTCAAGATGAGAGTTCTGTGATGGAGTTAAACTCAAAGCAGTCTGCTCCTCAGACAAATAATGTGAAATTATTATTTTATATATTAATGTTTCTGTGCAGTGCCCTGAGACGACTTCTGTTGTGACTTGGTGCTATATAAATAAACTGAACTGAATTGACTCTGCAGCATCGCAGCCTGGTCATGATGCTGTTAACTCACGATCTCAAAGTCGTGGACCTCCACCGCCTCGTCGGCGCCGCTGCCGGTGCTGAACCTCTCCGTGTTGTCGGTGGAGTCGATCTCCATGGAGCCCTCCTCCACTCTACCATTGATGCTCATGCTGTAGTGGACGTTGTAGACCTGCACACACACAAAGCCTGGCCACTGAGTTTCAGACTGGTGTGAGCCCCCCCCCCCCCCCCCCTCCCCCCCCCATCCTCCTTCAATCTGACGTTTCTGTCCCACCGTCTCCAAATCTGTCAGGAATGTTCGTTTATTCCGACTCGTCCAGCCGCTCGACCTGCACAGCCACGTTTCACCTCGTGTCTTTTACACCTCTTGCCCCTTTAGCATCAGCTGGACCAAAGAGGCCCCCCCACCTCCCTCCACCCTTCCAGTAAGGCTACACACACCACATGCAGCACAACGACTCCATTCATGGAGCTGAGCCCCGCACCGTGGAGACGAGCAGATACGATGACTCCTCTGGACTGAAACCTGCCGTGCCTGAAGACCTTCCTGTCTGTGACTCACACGAACCGTGTACAAAACTACTGCACCTGATGAACAACTTATACAAATACAGTTTTCATAACTCGGTTAAATCCAAAACATATGAGAACTTCCGTAACACCCCCCCCCCCGGCTGTTTCTCCTCTCAGAGAGGGACAACTAAACAAGTAAAATGTCATTCTTACATGTCTTTCATTGTTGTTCCAGAAGTAGAAGGCCCCAGCGGCCCCCAGCAGCAGCAGCAGGGCCCCAGCTACCAGCACGGCCCCCCCGGCCTTCAGGAGCCGCCCGGTGGGGGGAGCTTTCACCGTCACTGTGGAATAAGCCTGAAAAATAACCCAATCCACCCCCCCAACACAGGATTAGGACCAGGAGGCCCTGTTTGGCCCCCCAGATGCCCGGACCCTGGGGGCCACTCACCGGAGGCATGAAGTCCTGCAGGTCCTCGGGTCCCTCGGAGGCGATGGGTACTTTCTCTGAGCTCTCAGCCATGACTGGAGTCAAACTGGCAAATACCTGAGGAAGTCCACTGACTCCCCCCCCCCTCCCCCTCACTCTCCCTCCCAGGAAGAGGAGGGGCATTTTCAGGCCTTCTTTCTGCTATCCAGCACCCCCCACCCCCAAAGTGCAATTTGAATTTTTCTAACTTCAAAAAGAATTGACGTGGATCAACGCTTCAGGACTAGGCTGGACCAGAACCTGTCCACCTCCTGAGGGAGGAGGAGGGAAGAACCCCCCTCCCCCCCCCCACACACACACACCCACACACACACCCATCAGTCTCAGGTCAAACGGATCTCAGTTTGCACAGATGCGCGTGGCTCTTCATGCCGGCTTGTTGGACAAACCTTTATGTTCCTGTTTTCCATCCTCTGCGCGCTGCTTTAAATATAAAAACTGGAATTCATGAATAATGATGGAGTGAGGTCAGAGACGCACGGTGCACATTTGGCACTTTGACAGGAACAAGGTCATAGAGACATTACCTTTATCTTATTACCTTCTTTTTTAGGGGATTAA